TGGCCAGAGACTATCTGGTGAATATTTTGGTCCAAGATTTCTTTAAGAGACAAAACATGTTATTTTACTGTTGATCTTTAACTGCAATAAATCTAGTGGTTGTTTGCTTGCAAGTCAAATCCATTATTACTTAAATACCTGTCTTGCATAGCTGCCACATATTCATATTAGACAACTGGTTCTGAATGAAAACAAGAGGAGTGAATAAGATAGCCCTCAGCTATTACTTAGATGTTTTGTGAACTACGGAAAATTCATGTATTCCAGGTTACCTATACATTTATGTATGAAGTAATGAGTTCTGTCATTATGTTTCTGACATGTCATTCTTTGAATTAGTTCTCTAAAGAACCCAGTCGCTGCTTAAATAGCAGTTACAGTGATCATTAACACAGATTTTAAAGCCTGTATATTAGGTGGAAATGTAAAAATCCATGTGACATGGGAGTACAAGTCCCAAGACCAGAAGGTATTCTGAATTCAGTTAATTATTCTGTGCTTGCCATGCATAATCTGAAGTATCAACTGAACACTTTTCTTTCTGCAGACTTTTAAATTTTCAGATGTTTACTTTTTTCTTTCTTTTCAACAGATATAAGCTTACCAAAATCAGCAACAATATGTTACACAGCTGCATTGCTCAAAGCCAGAGCTGTCTCTGACAAGTAAGTGCGTAAGAACCACAGTCCAGCAAAATTCCTGATTTAACTTGAAATTTCTCTTAGCTGAGCCCACACCCTAACAATCTTCTGGGTTAGCAGGAGAATACAGTCCTGCAGTAAATTCATAAAATGACTTTATATATAAGAAATATTTGCAGTGATCAAACATTGCACTTCATATATTACAGAAGAAGAAAAGAAGAGAAATAGCATAAATTCAATTCTTGCTTCAATTTTATGTATACTGTCTGGTGAGCTTTGGCTTCCTAGATAGTATAATGAAGATGCAACTAAAAGGTGTTGTGTGGCTGAACCTCTTCAACTTTGTATAAACCTGACCACAAAAAGGTAATAAATAAATGTGGATGCACTGGTAGCAATGTCATTTTGCAAGTGCTGTCAGAAAGTTGCTCATCTACTTAAATAGCGGCAGGTGGATTTAGCATTACCATGTCAGGGATTCTGAGGTAGATGACGTTCATATTTTTAGAGACACAGATATCTGCTCACTACTGTTATAGTTTTGTCTTGGGTCTCAACCTTCCAGGCTGCTGAGCACATCTACTTGATGCCTATGGACTTGAGAGCACTGGGCCACTCTGAAAGGGTGCTCAGCTCCTTGTGAGATGGAGCTCAAAAACCCGATTCTGCTCTCAGATGCCTTCACACAAATCCCAGGCAGAGTTGTGTCTGTGCACCTGAGGGCCGAATGCCTCCCTAAAGTTGGAAAGCAAGTAGAGTGGAAAGCCATTTTCTTGACTGACATCCTGACAGTTTCTGCTTTTAAAGTGTATGTACACATCAAGATCTAAGTAATTTTCTTTCATTCTTTTTATCCTGTAGATCGCCAGTACCTACTGCAACATCTTTCCTCCCTACACAGCGACTCCAGCTTGGGAGGGCAGGGCTAAGGTTGTCACAGCTTTCCCTGTGGTGTCTGCCTGCCAAGTACAGCTCTGGAGTTAGCCGTGGGGTGTGAGGTGAGAAAGAGATTGCATGGTCTGGTTTTTCATTCACTGGGGCAGATGATTTGCCCACAGTTTGGGCATGCTACCCTCAATGGTGCTGCAGCCAGTAGACCACCCGCTACTGCTGCTGCATCGTGCTTCCATCCCAACCTGACCCAGGGGCATTGGGTTGGGAATCTCCCTAAAACGTCCCCAAACCTGTTTTTAATAGAAACCCTCCAAAAATAATTTGGCATTGTTGGTCTTTTTTTTTTTTTTTTTTTCTTTTTTTCTGCAATGTCAGCCTTGAATATGCCCCTTAGCAAGGCGCCTAGAGCCAATTTAGATCAGTGACAGAGAAAGGACTGTTTGAACTGACTTTCTGCTATGATTAGATGCAAACATGCTTTCCACTTCTGCTGGGATTTTCATTGGCCTTGTTGTAATAGATCATTCAGAGTTTTCTCTTGCTATGGAAGTTTGGAGAGCATAGGAAATTGACTCAGTTTGGTTACATGGGCCCATGTTCTAGTTTACTTCTCTGGCTTTTTCTTACTAGCACTTCTGACCTAATGTGTTTGTTTCTTTGCTTTTGTAGATTTTCTCCAGAGGCTGCCTCAAGGCGAGGGCTGAGTACTGCAGAGATGAATGCAGTAGAAGCTATTCACAGAGCAGTAGAATTTAATCCACATGTGCCAAAAGTGAGTATGGAGAAAGCATTGTTGTAGCATTAACACTGCTGAGGACCTAACTCCAGATTTCTGTGTTAGATCAACAAGTGATATAGTGGAAAGGGGAGCAAACAATGGGAAGGGAAAGAAGCTGATAGTATGCACAGTTTTCTTTATTTGGTATTTCACATTCAGTGTCTACTCTGGACCGTGCAACTTGAAATTTTAGTTGGAGTGAGTCCTCTGCGTGAGCAGCAATTACACAGTGGATTGCAGTAGTAGACACCAGCAAATGCTACACTGCAGGACAGAACCATGCATAAAGACATAGTATTATTTACAAAATAGCCATTAAAGATCTTCTAGTTCAAAATAGCATGTTCTATTTGTTTTGATGGTTACATGTAAGAATATGTTTTTGGCATGCTATACAAAGGAACCTGTGTTTGGAGTTCATGGAGTGCTTCATATAAGTTGCATTAGTAATTCCTTATGCAGCACCCTGTCATTAAGTTCTGAGAATGCAAAGCTCAGAGATGAATAATTGCTGAGAACTACAAAGTAAGAAAAGGGATTTATGTCTTAATTTCCTAATCGCCTCTCTAGATATGTATCTCAGCAGTAAGAATCTTGTCCAGGGGCTGCTAAAGACTATGTATTTCATTATTTCATCGCCTGATACTCAGTAATGCAGTATGTAAGTTCATTGTGAAGGCAAACTAGAGGCAGATTCTTTTTGGCCCTTGGAGATCTGTCTCTGAACCTCACTCGCCAAATCTCCTTTGGACCAGTATTGCCCTTTGAAAGTAATCAGCCTCCATTGGAGAGCAGAAGGCTGATGTGTATTAATGTAGGGAGCCTGTTCATTAGGTACAGCTGAACACCCAAGTCTGGGCAAAATAAACCCAAAACCTCTCCAATGTATATGCATGGATTGCAGAAAGTTCGTTCCCATGCATTGCAGGTATTAAGTGTTTTTTTCTGTGAGCTATATCTTTTATCCCAACCACTAAATAGCATGGTTTAGCTATCTGAAAGTTGGGCTGTTTGTTTAATAAAATCATCTAGACTTCCTCTACAGGCAGTGGAAAGAAGGAACTATCTTAGACATCTCTAGACAGACTTTCCCTCCGAGGTGCCTGTTTCTGCATTGACTATGAAAGGAGCAACTATTTTCCAGTAAAAGCCTGATTTTTAGAGAACAAGATTTAGGTGAGATGAGCCCCTTTGTATTATTAGCTGATCTATTTTTGTGCCAAGCTATAAAATGAAAATATGAAATGAAGTTTGGTTCCAGGACTGCTTCTGTGGAACTCTGTTTACTTTCTCCCATCGCAATGGTTCTTGCACTAACACAGCCATTGATATTTCTCTGCCTGGCTGCCTGTTTAACTCTCTATTCCAGTCTTGTACTGGGTGAACCTTTCGGAATGTTTTACTGAAGCTCGGTTAGAATATTCTGTCCTTGCTGTCTGAAAAATCAGATATTTTGCCAAGCAAAGATACCAGTTTAGCCTGCTGTGAGCTCTCCTTGGGAGCCTGTTCCATTTTCCTCATTTACTGTCATGCTGTTAATAATTCTTTCCATCAAAATCTTTTTTAACAGTTTGCATATAGTGATTCCATATTAACACATACTGCTTCCCTCCTTTTAAAATGAATGGCATTGCATTTACTTCTCTCATTACTGGATTATTTGAGTCTGAGTGAGGATCTTTTTGTTTTAAGTCAGTTATGCTGGCCTGGCCATTTCTGGGACTTGTTCATTCACTGTTAGGGGACAGAGATCATTGGCTGCAATGGCCTCCACTTCTGTACATGCTCCTGATGTCCATCCTGCTATTGTCTCTGTGCTCTGCACTGTCATAAAACTGAGGCTAAGCCTTCATTTACTATCTTTTTGCTTGCTCTTTTCCTGTTTATACTTCAGGCCTTGCTCTTCTTTGGTTTGACTTCCTTTGCCAAATCTACCTTACTGTAAGTTGTGGCAGTTGCTCCATAACCTCTCCACTTCCAGGCCTCCCAGATGCTGCTTTTCATGTAGATCAGTACTTTCATTCATGGCTTGTGACCCCGTTCTCACTAGCCAGCTTCTGTTTAGGTGGCTGTTGAATACAAGGCTGAATCTCCCTTCTGACAAGTTGCCCTGTATGTGAAATGCAGATTGTGTGTTATTTTTGGTACTTTAGATTTAAATAAATTCCAGTCCTCTTCCTCAGTTGAGCTCCTGAGTTTTTCAGTTCACATTGCTAATTGATTGCCTCAGTTTTTCAAAGTCTGTAATTTTGAAATTGAAAACCTTTGTGAAACATATAAATTACCGGGATAACAAGATAGTAATTGGAGCAGACTCTAGGCTTTTTTAGTTCATATTTTAACATTAAAACAGTATAGCCTAATACAGATTAATATCCAGCACTGCTGGTTTCACACTCATTCTTTCTGCTATTAGCTAAAGGATAAGGTGGCAAAAATATTTTTTTGGTTATAATTTTATTCACAGTATGGATATTAAACCTCATTTTCCACTCAGTTATGATTGAAGTCATAACCAATTTGTTCTTAATGAAATGGAGATAAGTTTTAGCAAGCAGCATCAGAAGAAATCTAACAGTGACACAAAACTAGTATGTCTTCAGAGCTTCTTTAGGATTTAAACACTAATGAGTCTCTCTTGTTCACACTGAGCAAGAAATAAATTACAAAGGTGACAAATTATTAAAAGCATTTGCAAAGTTCCCAGCAGAAGCCTTGAAAGCAGGGAACTGCACTATTAAAGAGAAAATAAATTATTAGTATGTTTCTGGTTTGTCTCAAAAGGAGATTTTACAATTTTCAGTGAAAATCATTAAAATTTAGAATTATCACATGAAATGATTATTACTGGATATCAATTTTCAAGACATTTAACTGGAAATTGCAGATTTTTGTAAAGAGATTCTGAGACAGAGGGAATAAAGGGAACACACTCTGAACACTCTGACATGCTGCTGAGCTGGATTTAGTAAGAAGGGGAGACTGGGTCTCCCGTTGTGACCTATTGCAGGTTTGTGTAAAAGAACCATGGGTTTCTTACAATGCTGATGATTTTTCCCTAGCAGATTATGGCCAAGTTGCAGTCCAGTGTTCCATAGTAATGTTGCAGAGGTCTGAGGTTTTTATTTTCTGTCTGCACAAAAACAACCTAATAAGGCTGATAGTCTTTCTTCAGGCAGCCACCGTTCCAGCAAATAACCTTCCTTCTTCCATCTTCGAGTATGTTTCAGTGACAATTTAATTCCCAGAGATCAGTCTATTAAGTCGCAGCCATAGGTGATAAATTTTCATTGGTTTTGGAATACACTGAAGTCAAGACGTGACGTGTGGAGGTACCAGAATTTGGTTTAAGTGAACAAAGGCAATCCAGAGCTCAGTGCAGCCTGCCAGATCTCTCCAGGAAGCTGGGCAGCTGACCTGGCTGTGTTGTTTCTGGAAGCTGAGCTGTGCAGGGTTAAGGCCAGCTCAGGTGTGTCAGCTATGACTCCTTCTTGACTGAGTGAAAATGGAACCACTCTCAAAGCGATCAGGACTTCTCATTCTGAAGACATCTTACCTGTAAAAGGTGTCTGTGCTTGAAAGTGACTTAATTTTTTAAGCAATACCACAAAAGCATCTGATAAAAGATATTACATCTATCTACAGTTTGTCTTGTTTGTATTACTGAAACAGCTCAGCTACAGCGGATTGCAGCTTTATACTGTGGCAGAGATTGCCTGTGTAAAAAGAAAGCACTTCACCAGGCGGAGTGTTTTCAGGGTTCTTTTTAGTAGAAGACAAACATAACCAATAGCAGATTGAAGTCAGAAGTACAGCAGGAAAGACAAAAAAGCAAAGAGCTGTGAATTTCACTATAAGCAGAATACAACAAGTTGTATCACTTGTTTGTGAAGATTTGTCTGAATTTTTTTCAACCATCTTTGTCTTAAATGAGATTCTATGGACTAGTATCCTTCTGTTTTAGTGTAGCACCATGCGCTGTGGAGTTTTGGTCCCAAGGAAGTGTGCTGACACTGTCTCACAATATGCTGCTCAAAAATTTAAGAGTTAAACAAGAAGGTTTTTATTGCCACTGAAGCAGTTGGGGTATCACTTTAATTCTGGAGGGTTTTGTATGCAAAAGAGAGTAGTACATCCTATGTCATGGAGAGTACATAATTTGTGGAGTGGGTGGGAAAAAGAGAATATGTGTACACATATACACGCAACTCTTAAATAATCAGTATTATTTATATCTTGTGTTTGGAGTTTCCCCACTTATATGTAATGCAACTGTCCCAAGCTAATGCTGATAAAGTACCACAGCTATTTCTGGGACATTCCCCAGTTGTGCAACACCCTTTCTGAACTGATTTGTGAGGCTCCCCCCCTGCATTCAAACTCCTCCTGAAAAGCCTCCCCTCTTTTCTGTAATATATGAGACATGAACTATTCAGTCAAGTCAGAGGGAAGAGAAAACAGATGATGGTTCATATATCTAATTGTTAAAAATAAGTCAAAAGTGTACTCTGCACACAGTTTTATGAGTTTGCTATGTAAGCCAGGAGCTGAGTTGGTTTAAAGAGAGTACCTGCTGAAGATTGCTGCACTTGAATCGGGGACAACTTAAATAGTGATATTACTTTAAGAAATGCAAATTTTATATGTAAACAGTTTCTTAAAAGGGTTTAACAAACCACTGACTTAAACACTTAGTGATTTATCTGTTCTCCATTTCATCCCTTCTCATTTCTTTCTTACTTAATTTTTTTTTAATAAGAACTGTGTCTGTCTGTATGCTTGTGTGGTTTCTAGTAAGTTGTAGTTGCTAATAGAAACAAACAATGCAAACAAATTCATATACCAGATGGGAAATGAATCTGTTCTGCACGCCCCATGATATTACAGAGAAAATATTCAAGATGTGTTGAAGAGAGTTTTTAACTGTTCAGTGAGACAGTGATTTGGTTTTGTATCTCCAGCAAAAAGGCCAAACTTCTTAATTACCATCAATCCAATGAGAACTTGTACGGTGACCTACAAGTGGCTTCTCTGGGCTTGTAGAAACCAGTATTTTGAAACTCTTTTAAGCTTGTGCTGTTCATCCCACTGGGAGGAGGAGAGTTCCTGTTCAGACAATGTTAAATTCTCATATTCTGGCCTGGAGGGATGCAGTCACAGGTGCAGGAGTGATTATTGCCTATTTGCAGCCTGGGCTGTAATTTCAGAGGCAAAGTGCACAACTGAGGAAACAAAGGAAACCTGCCTCAAATAGGTTGATTTATTTTCTAAAAGGGCACTGACGTAGCTCATTGATGTGCAATGTTAAAAGCACTCCCAGCAGAGGAGAATTAGTAGCAAGAGTGTTGTCAATATTATGAAATAAATAATGTATGTTCAATCAATTCAAGTAAGAGAAATATAAACTCCACCATGTTTTACTTCATGTGTACAAGGTCCATTGTCATCCTCCAAGTGGTCATTAAAAGGCATATTCCCATATGGGTACAGAATGGCTATAGCTGAGCAATATTTATTACAATGTCACATAAGTAGCCATGAAGCCCTCTGTGGAAGCATGTGAAAAATATAGTTACCCTTGTAACTCCTAAAATACAAGGTTTTGACAGGAAAAAGTTTGGGATGAGAGAAGAGAGAGACCAGATAAACAAAAAAGACAACCAAAAAAATCCAAGTCAAAACAGTGCAGTGGAGAAGGGCTGATTGAGCTATCTGTTAATGACAGAAATCATTGCGCAGTTTCAGTGTTCGCTCATGGCTTGATTAAGGCTAGGTCATTTTGGCTGAAATTTTCTAGACTTGTCTTTTCTGAGCTGATTCCTTTTTTAAAGGAACATGATAGCCCCAGATGGTGGTGACATGCTCTTCCTTGTTGTAGTTAAACTTCTTTATTCATCATTGAAAACCAAATGCACTTGGAGATGGTGCTGGGCTTGCCATCTCCACTTCCTCCATGATGGCTAGCTCTTTGCTAAGTTTCCTATTTAGGCTGTTACTTGACTCTCCCTCTGAAGTGGAACCACGCTTGGGTTCAGAGCCCTGTCAGGATGACAGAGGGCTCCCATCTTCCCTGTGTATTCAAAGTGTTGAAAAGGTAGTGGAGTTTTATTACTTAAATTGTAAAGATCGTGGTTGAATCTGAGAGGATGCTGGTGTATCAGGAGTTGCAGTTAGTAGGGAGTTTGTCAAGAGGTGTAGGTTGTTTTGTGTAAAGCTAGATGGAGTTCATGCTGATATGAATTTTAGTGGTATGGTAGGACCTCATGTTCATATTAGTCCTGTAGCAGCAAGGGCTATGCTCTGGACTGAGGCCTTTGGAAATGTTGAGATATGAATAGTTACATTCCCAACCTGAAGTCTGTGCTGGCTGAAAAGAAGACTGTACCTGCCTAATGTAGTATCTTTAAGTGCTATAGCAGCCTCTTGGAAACTACAGTCAGATGTCTTTGGCTGTTTTTTTTCCAAGAGCTGGAGGTACTTGTTGCACACAGAACTCCATTAGGGCTGTGATTCACACATTATATGGGCAGCACAAGGACTACAGCTAATTGGATAGTTTTTGAAGAAATTTTTTTTTATTTAATTTCATTTTACTGGAATTTGTCTGCTTGTCCAATCCAAAATGTTTCAGGGGGACCATGTTCATTTCATGGACAATGCAAGATGGCTGGGATTCAGTTCTGCCTGTCAAGTATCTGGGTGCCAGTACTTGTAGAATTTGATCTTTATGTTCCTGAAAGTGCCTGATGAGAACTGTACAGAATGTTCCAGATGAAGTCTCTCTGGGTCTGTGTACAATTAGCATTCGTGCTGGAAATGCCTCCAGAATAAATTCATTGACAGCTTGTATGCCCCAAAAGCGTGGCTGACCTTTGTGCATAAAACAGTGAGACTTGAGCCATCCATCAACTTTAATTTTGGGTCTTCTTGAATATCACCAAACCACATTATAGACTATTTGTTTGGGAAAGTAGCTGTGGTAGAGTAACGAGGGAGGTTCTGAAACTGAGAAAAATGCAGACTGAAAAGTCAACACAACAGAGTGAGGACTAAGAATGATTTGCAAGTATCAAGATATAACCTTCCATCTGGTATTTCCACTTGATTTGTTTTAATCGCTGATAACAAGCAATACTTAAGAACCAAATTCACATATTTTCATCCCAACACTCCTAGAAATAGGACATTTCATCCTGGTTTTTCTTTACCTACAAATAGGGACATGGCTTTTGGGTTTGTTTTTTTTTTTTTTTCCTTTGATTGACATATTTAAATACTGAGAACTTACTTTCTCATTTACTTTTGGGGGAAAAAAGGGAAATAAGAGTTATGATCTAAATTAGTAATACAGACAGGAACTTGCAGCTCTTAGAACCCAATTCCATTCTGCTCAACAGGTATAATGTGTGTTTTTAAAAGGGTGGCAAATTCATTAAGGCAGTGAATAAGAATGTTTCCTGTGTCTCTGTAAACCTGGCAGCTCCCTCCCTCCTGTCAGCTCTCTGTTCTATTCTCTCTGCCACTCTTAATCCCCTGTTCTGCATACTAAACTGCAGCATCCTCCATTAATCCACCTGTTCCGCAGCTCTCTCAAATTTTTCTGAAAGGCTTTAGAGAATATCTAAGTATCACACATATTACTCCCACTGGTAATTCAGTTTATTCTCCTTTAATACTATTACCTGCATCAGAAACACATGTGATTTCTCTTTCCTCTTTGAAGTATTTATCTGTTTCCCAGGGTTGATATTTCTCTGCTTTGATCACAGTCTCTTCAAATCCTTTACCTATTTGCAAGCTCCTTCCAGGCTCCTTCAGGCGAAAGGGTAACTAGCTCTAGGATGCCCTCCATGACATCCCGCTATTTGTTCTCATTTCCCTCTGGCCTTTCCTCTTCCTTTCCCCAAGGCTGATTTTCAGTTCCCATTTATGTTGCCCTCTTTTCTCGTCTTTTCTGCACCAGCTCACACACTGAGAGGGTGCTCAAGCATGCCCTGCAGTGTCATGTTCACCAAAGCCAGTGTTTGACAGCAGCTGTGGAAGGTTAACACCCCCCATACCTCTGTTTCACCTCTGATGTCAAGTTGCCATCTCTTGGGTGCCTGCACTTGGTTGTTGTCCATCCCTAGGTCTTGCAGGACTCCTCCTTCCAGACCAAAGCAGAGACCGGTGCATAGGCACAGAGGCCATAGTGAAGCGGAGGGGCAGCCCGCCCACTCTCTTTTTGCCAATGATTAACCATAACTTTCCTTTCCGAACCTTGTGTTAGGGCCTGACAGTCTGCTGCCTGACTCACTTGCTGCCTCTTGTGTTAACTTAAATAGCCTGGTGGGATAATATTTGCTCTTGGGCATCCTGGAAGAGATCAACAGTTTCCTTACACTGCTGAAGAGCAGTCAGCACACAGCTGGGAAACGTTACACTTCTTGGAGGAGAACTGACAAACAGGAGTTGATTTGAAAAGCCTGTGATTTCTGTCCGTCATTCCTTTCCCCATAAAGCGTGCCAACAAGGGGAGTATCTTTCCCCTCCTCTGTATCTTTCCCCTCCACTAACTGGAATGTAGTAACACCAGTGATGAGATAGTGTCTGCTGAACTGGTAGTGGTCTAGTTCGTGGGCCGGGGAAGGAGGAAAAATCACCTGCTTAAATAATGTCCAGGGCCTCGGTCTTCTCCTGTGGCATGAACCCTCCGTGTGTTTCATCCACTTCTGTTATGGGGGATCCAGTAACAGGGACAGTTGCTTGTGGGTTTAGTTAGTGGTGCTCTTTATTTTCATACCAGATTCAATAACTATTTCGACTAGGAAGTTTAAACTTTTTTTTCTGGAAATTAGGTATTTGTTACATTTGGTAACTTTTTTTGCTTTGTAACTTGTTGGTAACTACTTGGTGGCTGCCAACCTTGCATGTTCATAGCCGTAGCAACTAGTTGATGCCAATGCAGTAAAGCAACCTGTGTGCAAACTATGAGTACTGTGTGTTTCCTTATAGGAAGACAGGATGTATCAAACTGCTTAATGTCCTATTCATTTTATTATGAACGCTTTCAATTAAAAAGTTCTTGTAACTAGATTCTCTTTTCTGCTTTGAGCCCTTTTTTCCATCTCCTTTGATAAGAGAGACATCTCATATTGAAATTCTCTGTAGTCCCCCTACTACAGCTGAAGAGCAGAACATTAACCATCTGTCAGCATATCTTAGTCTTTGGGAATAATTCAATAATTATCTTCAAGTGCAGTTGGTGATGTTACACATTTGATGAAACACTTATGAGAGAAAGTACTTTAGGGAAATAGACCTTTCAGTGTGCGTTAGAGAATTCTAGTCAGCTTTTTGGTTTTTTCATTACCTCTGAAATAATTGTGCTCTGCTTTTTCATTGCAGTATCTACTAGAAATGAAAAGCTTAATTCTGCCCCCTGAACATATTCTGAAGAGAGGGGACAGTGAAGCAATAGCATATGCTTTCTTTCATCTTCAACACTGGAAAAGAGTAGAGGGGGCATTGAATCTCTTACACTGTACATGGGAAGGCAGTAAGTAATTCTCTTTCTTACAAAGGAGTTAATCAAGTATTTTTGTTGAATGTAATGAGAAAATAGTAGCTTTTTGTGAAGTATAGTATAGAGGAATTTAAGTGGTTAGTTAAATCCTCACCAACATTGAAATATTTGAAATTCAGACTGAAAATACAAACTTCGTTTAATGAGAAAAAGAGTTCTGAATTCTTGGATTGTGTTCTTTGTGTAATACTGAACAAAATTTCACATCTTCTTTGAGACATATTTTCTTACTCATGGATGAGGGGATAATAATTTATCTTCCTCATTCCAGAGTTGCAGAGATTAGTTTGTCATTATTTGAATGAATGGTTTCAAACTGACAGAGGTTAGATTTACATTAGACATAAGGAAGAATTTTTTTACAATAAGGCTGGTGAGACATTGGAACAGGTCACCCAGGGAAATTGTGGATGCCCCATCACTGGAAGTGTTCAAGGCTTCAAGCGACCTGATCTAGTGAAAGATGTCCTTGTCCATGGCAGAGGGTTTGGACTAGATGATCTTTAAAGGTCTCTTCCAGCCTAAACTGTTCTATGATTCTGTGAATGCTTTGATATTGAGAAACTATGAAAATGCCTTACAGGCAGATAAATATTCATGTGTAGTATAGAATGATACAGTATCTTATAACTTTTTTTTTAATTGACAAACTGGTGTGAGTCCAGTGGAGGATTACTGGGATGCATAGGGGACTGGAATGTGTGATAAGGAAAAGAGGCTGAGAGAGCTGATGTTGCTAAACTTGGAAAAGACTTCCAGTAGGTGAGGGAGGGATCCAGTTGCTGTCTTCCAGCGCCCAGTGAAGATATTATAATGGAAGACAGAGTCAAAGTCTTCTCAGAAGGGCACAAGAGAGAGTCAAGAGGCAGTACACACAAGTTGAAATGAGAAATTTAATCTAGACATAAGAAAAATATATTCAGAGTCAGAGTGGTGATGCACTGACACAGGTTGCTGGTGTGTTGTGGGGTCTTTATCCCCGGAGATACTCAGAGGTCAGCTGGACATGGCTCCAAGCAACCAGACCTAACTTTGAAGATGACCCTGCTTTGAGTAGGAGGTTGGAGTATATGACTTCCAAATGTCATATGGTAACCTTCTGACCTGTGTTATCCTGTCTTTGAGGTGTGGGGGTTTTTTTCAGTTTTCCGAGAATTAAAAAGTGCCACTTATAATCAGCCTTTGTGGGCTTTTTTTAATGCATGTTTTTTTCTATGTAATCTCATTCCCCTTTTCTGCTCTACTTTATTCTGTTCTCTTTCAGCCTCTGTATATTGTTACACCACCTTTTTTTTTTCTTTCTCCATTTGCTGTTCTTGTTTAGATTTGTTAGAAAAGATAGTTTGTCACCATGATAATTCCTACAGAAATGCACTTAATACCTCCATTATAAAAGTGACTTACTGTCTCAGTCACGGTATGAAATGGCCTGAACTTGCCTAATTTGCAATGTAGGGTCCCTGAGGAAGCAGTGGCTTTATTTTTAGGTGTATGGAACACATTGCTCAGTAATCCATACCATTGCCACCTGGGGTCTGCTCTGCTGCATTGTTCTCTGGCCTACCTGCGTGCTCCTTTCCTGTCATTTCTCCCAGTCAGGTATTTTCTCTGCCGTAGCTTCCTTCACAGTGACTTATTTTCAGTGGTTTGCTTTTACATAGTGTTTCTTCTCTTCCAGATGCTTGCAGAGGTCCTTTAGCCTGAGGCTCATTATCCCATCATTAACAGGGAATGCTGAACAGATCTTATTTTGCTTTGTCAGGCTGGGGAGTTCCTAAGGGTCTGTTTACAAGGACCAGCTTTTGGCACAGGAGGTTGGCTGCCCTGCAGTCCTCCGGCAACTTAGGAAGTCTTGTCATCTGTGCCTGAAGGCAGTGTAGGGCATTCCCACCTAACTGCATTAACTCTTTCCTCTCCTTATTACCTCCACAGCAATCTGAATATGTAATTCATTAGCTAATATTTATATAGTAGCCTGCAAAGAGGTAAAATAGTACTGTTGCATAACCTCTAAAGAAAAATCCGTAGTTCATTATGCACAGTGATTTCAGGGAGAGATGGACAGTGCACCGGTCCTCAAGAATTTTGTTCAGATTTTGCTCATGCATAAAGATTCCCATGGATTTTAATGGTTTCACCAGTATCTAGTCCAATAATCATAACTTTTGATCCATATCTTAATCTGGCTAATATTATTTTCGGATGTAGTGAACTATTTATGTCACTCTCATGTCCTTTACTTGCAAAAGGTTTCCATGGCTTCTCTGTGCAATTGTAAGTTTAAACCAGTTGAGTAATTAAAGAGTAATTAAATTTAATTAAACACTAGTTCTAACCAGCAGTCTACATACAGTACTTGGTCAGTTGCCCTCACTTTCTTTCTAGGCATTTATGTATTTGCCATGTCTTTAAATTGTACTATTCTGTCAGTGTGCTTAAAAAACCCGAAGTCTCACTTTAGTAGCTTGTATGTAGGAGTTTAATGCCCACATACAAACACTATTCAGTTCTGACTTTGTGGGAACTGGGCAGAATAAAGTGCATTAAGTCAGTCACTTGGGGGTACATTTTGAGTGCTTTTGAGGAGAAAAAGGTCACTCCTAATTAAAACAGCCTCTAGCAAAGTTTGTGCAGAAATGTCATTGTGATATTTTAAACTCCAAAATTCTCACAGCGTGTTTTTCCAGAATTACATTCAAAAATTGAGAAAAGTGAGATTATAATGATCATCATCAAACTGGAATGTTGGTTGTTTCCTTCTCTATTTTCATTCAATCAGTCAAAGTACAGTTTTATTCATCGTACAACTAAAAAAGCCCAAGTAACACCCCATGAAACGTTGCTCTGGGTTTGGTCCAGGTGCTCTGTACAGAAGGTCTGAAGTTTCAAGTGTGGCCAAATTTCAAAAGAGTCTGAAGAGCTTGTTCGTCACTGTCAGTTTCTAAGCTTGTGTCATGTTTCCTATTGTTTGCATGAAGAAGAAAAACCTAGTTCTCAAATGCTATGGTAGCTTTTACAACGACCACACAGTTGAATGTCAAAGCTGCCTCTGTGCTACCTGAATTGATTAATGTAAAATAGGATCAGATAATCCTGTAAGAGTAAGGCAGAGAAGTACCTACGTAAACACAAACTGATACAGATGAACCAGAGCACTTTCTTCCATGGCTGATAACTTTACTAAATAAACGGTTCTGCTATAAATATTCTGTATTTGGTCTCATGTCAAAGATGACTGTTTAAATTCAGTAAGATCTATTCTGATGTTTTTTCGCATGTTTTGTAAAAGCAATACCATTACTGTCCCTTTTTATTTTGATTAGAATCTTAATACTACTGTGATTTAGGGTAAGGCAGAAGAGGCTTGGTTGTCTGCTTAAATATTAAGCCAAATTGTAAGGAAAAACTTGTGTTAGTGATTTTGAAGTAATGAGCATTGAACATCCCTCCACCTATGTTTTTGTACAGATGCTCAAGTTTGTTGCATGTAAAGATCATACAAGGCTTGGATTATTGTATTTGTACTTGGCTTTTTGGGGTGCTATGGAGAGGGGAGTATTTGCACAAAAAAATACAGCTAACATTATTTCAAATGCAGTGTGCATGACTGAAAATATTGGGATATTGTATATTTTAAACCAATTCCTCAGTTGCCTTGTGAGCAAGAGATAATGGAGTATTATCATGTGGCAGTGGGCTGTACCTAGCATCTAAAATATACAGTGGTTCTAGGACATCCGTTGAGGAAAATATTGCTTCAGTGACCGATGTTCATAGGAGTAGTGAGAATAACACGTTGATGACATTTTAACAGTGAGAATGATATATAGGATAATGGGAAAGGCTGCCTTGATTGCAAAGCTGTAATTCAGTCAAGTATTCTGATATTTCCATAAATTACACTCAGATGGCCTATGACATCATCACCATCTAGATTTAGTAATCCATTTCCCTCCTTCTCTGTTATTATTTTCAATTTTTAAAATGCATAAGTTTAAGTATTATTTAATCCATGACCTGAAGATTTATATTGGAAACCTGCCTTGATCTGCTACATTTAAAAAGAATGCATGTGAGGAACCTGGTTTTGATAGTTCAGTATTAATCTTTGATTGCCAAATCTAAAATGAAAACATGACTGTGTTGGAAAACTGGTTCTCTGGGCTTGAGTCATCAGTGTTACCTGGTTTGCTGGAGTGTGGTGGGAAACAAGTAGGGTATTTTTTTCCATGCAAAACTTCTGTTATGCTTGATGCACAGAGATTGCAAGTATTGGCCTGAATACACAAGCTTGGCTGGTCATTTTTGTAGGCTATGCCTGTTATATCAGATACACTTCCTTCCCCTGAAATTTTAAAATTCTGCAGCCTAAAAGCCTACCAGAAAATGTGTAAATTTGGCTATGGAATTTTAAGTACAATGGGCTCTGATCATGCAGGCATTTGTGCATGTACTTGCAATGTGGTCTCACTTGATGCTCAGGAACATTCTCCCAAGAATAAAAACAAACATAAGTGTTTGCAGAATTAAAAGCTAAGTGTAGATGTATATTTTGACATTTCATTAAGCAATTTATATGCTGTTTGCAACCAAATATAAATGTTTTGTCTATGTTTGTTTTTAAAAATGGTAAATACAGTAAAGTATGTTCAGTGACTGCCACACTCACAGTAACTTGTGCATGGTGTTGTTTTCTTTTTAGCTTTCAGAATGATCCCCTATCCACTGGAAAAAGGACATCTTTTCTACCCTTACCCTATTTGTACAGAAACTGCAGATAGAGAACTACTACCATGTACGTTCAACTTTTCTTATCATTAACATCAAAGAATCGTCTACCTCAGTCTTGCAGCACTGCTCTCCATTGATGCCTTTAAAATTAAATGCACTAGATTAGAATCATGGGGTTGACAATGAGGCTCTGGATCTCCATTGATGGTTTTGAGAGGCAGCTCCTAGCCATAGCTCGTAATGACTAGCTATCTTTATTGTTGACAGTGTAGGGACAGGGAGAGGGATTACTGAAGAAATATAAATCAGTTAGATCTTGCTATTTTCTCATGCCAAGACACTGGAAAATATGTCTGATCTTTCATCTAGGGTAACATCCCATCAAACCAAAAGCACAGTGGCGCAGCCTTGTCAGTCTTTTGTAGACACACTAGCTACATAAATTCCAAGGCAAGATCAAACCTGCTTGAGGACAGCTGGATCATTAATGCAGCTGTTATTCTGACAGGTTATGCTGACATTTTCTGAAAAGCAGTCTTAAATAGCAAGAAAGGGTTTTCTTCATGTAGTGGCTTGTGTGCTATTATGAAGACATTGATGTGAAATTACTTCAGTCATTTATTATATATGTTTATGGCATGTATTAGCTAAGTGCCAACAGTGTTCCCAGTGCTCTGCAAGATACGGGTATGAAGACAGATCCAGCCCTTGGGAAGTGTTACAGTCCGAGCTAATGGGACTTCTCGCAGTGCATGTAGAATGCACAAGAATGCAGAGCAAGAGATGAAGCAGTCAGTCTTGCAAACAGTTACACTTCATTCCCACATGTTTTCTCACTGAAGTCAGTGGGACTTCGTGCGAGCACAAATGGAACACACACAAACACAGAGGGGTTTGCAGCGTTAGGGCAGAGGAGGCAAATACAAGTTGAGACGGAAGGAGATTCTTCTCTCACCTTCTCTATCCTGAAGAAGGAATAAAAAAGAAATCTGTTGTGGAAAAAGTAAAACTTAGCCTACTTCTCCTGTGAAGGCTGATTTTGAGGGTGTTTGCACACTTTGTAATCTTTCATTCAGAACCTCTCTGCTTTGGGCTGAAAAATCTGTTGCCACTCTTTATAAGCCTATATGAGTAAACATTAGGTGAGAATAATACAGCAAAAATCCAGTCATTGCGAGTCTCTCCTTCACAGTACATTCTCGCTGATATTACACAGAAAACCTTGGCAACTGACAGTATCTCCCCACCCCATTATAATCACCCTAATTATAACAACACCTCTTAGAGAGCTCTGCTTGCTTTACTCAGAGGAATGCTGAGCTGGGGAGGGTGGAGTGTCAGGAGATTTAGGAATGACAAAGTCATGCAGAATAGCTCAGCATTCTCTTTTTAGATGCAAAACTAATAGTTCTTGTCAAATGTTAGAAGCGAGGGACTCTTTAACAGCATATACAGACAGTTGTGTTCTGCTCTGGCAGTTATGGGAAATGCCTTTCACTGCAAAATCTCTTGGGTTTGAGTAGGGAAGGGTTTAACATACCGTGACAGACACAGGTCGGTTGAAGGGGTTTTGTGTACCTGCCCACACCCTTTAATTGCGTGTGTTTTAAAGGAGAGTCAGCTGGAATTATCTTAGAACCCTAAGATCTGACAGGCTATCCAAATAAAAAATATCAATCACATATCTTTTGCCATGACTGGATAATAGGCCACCACAACAAGTTTGAGCCTGCGTCAAAAGCAAGTACAAAAAACTGAGCACAAGAAATCTTAAACTTGTAAAGTTCATGATCTTATACTTCCCAATCTCTAAATTTAATTTAAATCAAAGAGAAGTTGCAAATTATCTGTGTTTTTCTTTTTAAACTGAATGAATTAGCAGACCCCAAAATCATACATATTTTTAGTGTATAATATTTTAATTT